CCAATGGGCCTGAGTGCCGAAATTTGATCAAATCTGGTCAAGATTTGTAGCTTTCTGACGGTAAGTGCTGACGTCTCTCTATGAGTGAAAAAAATCTTGCAAAGGACGTCAAACAACAAACAATAGTTTATTATAAAAATATCGAACAATAATGAAGCTCATTGAAACAATACAAATTATATTAATACGAACTTCTTACCACGTAAGAAATGGGAACAGGAGAAAGCACGTATGTTGTACTAGGTATCTAAACAAATGCGGTATGGATTGAAGTGAGAAATACCTCGGAATCGAGATCTGAGCACACCTTTTTTGTATATCACCACAACTGCGCTTACATCAGAGATAAATATAACTGCTTTGCCATTTTCTGCTTTATGGGTTAGAAATGTAAACAGAAGTCTTTAATAATCATTTTGAAAATCACCAAATTTTGGAAAATTGTTCAAATGAGGTTTAAATTTCATAATATTTCTTGAGATTTTTCTTGAAGTTTGCCATCTCACATGCGGACTAAAAGATTTTAAAACTTACACATCACATGCCATTCCACGTATAAAGTAGACACGATCAGGAATTAACTCATATACATTTGCACTATTGGGATTTGAAGCGTATTCATTCCACTGATTTCTGGTAGTTGAGTTTTGCTACTTCAAGAAGAGAGAATACGATGCGCAATGTGATAAATGTTCAATTTTCAAATGTTATATGCTGGTACCTACGTATCGGGAGAACAATTCCAATTTTTGTAGTTATCGTTGTCCAGAAGAAATTCACTGAAAGAAATTACTAGTAAAAGTTACTAAGTAAGCTAGTAAATTTTACTGTCCAAATTATCACTATTCAGTTAAGTAAATTTTACTAACTAGGTAGTACTAGCACCATTGAAAAGTAAATTCAACTTGTTTCAGAAGTATTTTTTACTATTGAAAACTAGTAACATATACCAGAAAACTAGTAACATATAGTAGTTAATATTACTCATTTTACAAGCTATTTTCCATTACATTATAAGTTGGTTTTTGCATATTAAAACATATTAAATTTCATTTTCAGATTGGACATCTAAATTTTTCACTGTTAAAAAACAAATAATAGATAAGTTCAATTTTAAATTTATTTGATACTAAAAAACAATGCTAATTCTTTTACATTTCATTCTTTTACATGTCTCATTTTAACAATACTGTATACACAATACACATGTATTATCTAAAAATGCATTATTTTAGTTTGCATTCAGTGTGTTCAAATGAACAAGACTGTTAAAAAATGTCTAAGGGGTGAAATGCACAGAACGTTACAATCATCCTCTCTCTACAATTATCAAAAGTACACTTTTACTCTATCTCTAACCAATATGCTACAAAAAATGCTTCTTGATGTTATTAAGATACACATGTATTTAAATAACTCTTTCACCATCCTTTGAATCAAAACACTAAACTATATAGGGAACTATGTAAGTACATGATGGATGGATAACAATTACATTTAGCATATGAAAATAAACAAGGACATCAAAATATGACCCTTTATATACACTTCCAAGTACACTGTCAAAAAACATGTCTTTCCTTGACAAGCCCATCTTAGCATAATTTAATGTGTGGAAGAAGGAATGAGGGCATTCAATGAGGCCAATACACCCAAAATACGTTTGTCCAAAGAAACTTGTCCTAGCTGATCCTTTAGTCCTACGAGCACATTCTGTATGAAAGTAAAGGTTTTTAACCAGTTCTTTGGATAGGCAAGATTAAAAACATAGATTGCAGCCAGTAAGGTGGTTAAGCTTTGGAAAAAATTTTCACACCCTGTGAGTTTTTCCCCTTCGATGTATACGACGAAAACATCCTCCCCCATTGACAGAAGTTTCTCTTTCACTAATATATATAGTGAGCTTGTGGGATCCTCCTCAAACTTGATGATGTCCTCGGGTTTTTCTTTAAACAGGATGGACAGCCCAGCAATACTTAAACAGTCATCAGCATCTATGGAAAAAAAGTTATGTTGTTTAGAAATTATTACATAAAATACATGTTGAAGCATAAGCTATTCATTCATTCCTATGATAAAATTTGTAATGAAATTCAATATCAAAATAGCATATGTAAGTCTTGAGGTACAGTGTTAATGTATAATTATTCAGTTGCAACAAGATGCACAACATACAGATTCAACATTTCCAATTACCGCTTACAGTATTGGAATGTTGGGAGTATGATTAAACTACTTACAGTCTCGTTGTTCTGAGGATCATAGAAGAGATGTTGAACTCTCTATTTCTTTTAGAAAATCTGCCTTTTTCTTTGACTTGAGGAGAGTTAGAATTGGTTTCTTGTATTTCTTTAATCCTTGTGAAAGGACATCCTCTAATCCATGACATGATAAATTTGGTTTGAGTCTGTCAAACTCCTTCAATATCTAAATGAATTAGAATTGATTATATATATGGTATATACAGTCCTATTTATGCTGAACTCGATGAGACAAAGGTAAAACTGAGAAATATCTGTAATCTGAGGAATTGAAATATTGAAAGTATTTAAGATTAAAAGGCTGGGCTTCCTTCATTAATTTTAACACATCCATCGAATTTAAGATACCCATGTTCATGATATGAAAACTCATCTTAAATTACTTTGTGACATGTGTAAGTTCATGTACAAGTAAAAAAAAAAGTTTTTAATGTCACTTCAATTTTTTTCAATTGAAATGCTAGTGTACATCTCGATCACTTACTTCGTAGCGAAGATGAAGCCAAGGGAATATTTCAAGAAGATTCTTCATCTCAATCTTTTCTGTCACAATCATTTTCCTCCTGTGAGCAAAGGTGAGGTCCATTTTTTGGTCAACCATAGAAACGTTGACATCTGCAGATGTCTTCCTGAATTCCCTCTTCAAAGACTCTATGTGAATATTCACAGAACAATCATCTTCACTCTGAGGAGGGTTTGACAAGTAATTTTCCATTCCCCAAGTGAAGTTACGAGCTTCCGGTTCTGTGTCTTGGTTTGTTTCTTTTGATGTTCTTTTTCTTTTCCTGCTGACAACATCTGGGTGATTGTAGTCAAAAGATTTTCTCGCATTTTGCAAACTTGAAAATAATTTTGTCTTTCCAGTAGGCCTAGGGAATTTGATGGATATATTAGTATACATTATACTGAATCAAAATTATGAGTACAGTGAAAAGTAAATTATCTAAAGATTTTTATGCTTATGTGCAAACATACTCGTGCTGATGTCGCTGGCAGTCCTCCACATGTAAGTAAATAAGGATATTCACTAACAATTCCATCAACAATGTCCTCATACATGTCTGATGTTGGGTACCTACAATAATATAAAAACATCTAAAACTATTCAAATATGTTTTACTAATACACTTATTTAATTTCACTTTGTAAAACTCTTTACTTACATTCCACCTCTGTACTTTGTGACATCATGATATATAGCCTCCAGAAAGAGACGGCGATCTCCTGTGCTTAACTGTTCTTTGTTTTCAAGTTTTAACACAATTCCCCTTGGGATGTTGTCCTTTGGCAGTCTGTATTTCCTATGCCAATCTTTTGAGCTGCAAAAGATAAATAGGTGATTTACATAAAATATCTATGGATCATTGAAGTCTATGCAATAATTTTCTAGAATATTTAGTAAATAAATTTATCTACCTATTTGGTTTTTCTGTATGTGAACTTGATCTTCCTGCATGTGCTGCTGGCGTTGAAGGTCCACTGGCTGACGTTGAAGGTTGACTTGCTGGCGTTGAAGGTCTACTTGCTGGCGTTGAAGGTTGACTTGCTGGCGTTGAAGGTCTACTTGCTGGCGTTGAAGGTTGACTTGCTGGCGTTGAAGGTCTATTTGCTGGCGTTCAAGGTCTACTTGCTGGCGTTGTGGGTCTACTGACTGGTGTTAAATTTCCATTTAATGGGGAGGATGGAGAGGATGGTCTGCTTGTATGTGCTGCTTGCTCTGCCTCTGCTGGTACTTGTCTGTGTGCTGGTGTTTCTGAGGTTTTCTTCGGTTTGGTTATAACTGGCATAGCCTCTTCGTCAATGTTGACAGAATGAATTTTGATTTTAATAACTTTTCCATCAGGAATTTCTGAATCCGATTCAAAATCAACCCAATCATCAACGTCATTGTCATAGTATTTGATGTTTGTTTTGTGTAGATTAGAGATATTAAATTTTAGTTTCAGAGCTTCTTCTATACTTTTTACTGATAAATCCTCCATGGCAATTTTCTTATTTTGGTTTCCATATATAGCAAGTATATACTTCCGTTCCATTTTGAATTCTTAAGAAAACAAAAGGAAATTAAGGAATGCAAAATAAACAAATAATAATTTCTAGCACAAAACTTTGAATTTGGGAACAACTAATTTGTCAATGGGATGATTAGGATGGGGGTAAATCCCTAATACATTTTGATCTTTAAGGTCAGATATTTTAACTAAATTGTATTCATTTGTCTCGGTGACTCTAAATGCATGATAATGCCTCTCAAAGCCCCGTGTTCTCAGTTTTCTACAAATAAGATATGGTTGACCATTCACCACACAACAATTATCAATCAAACAGACCTCCATGTCAAAATTGTTTACAGATGCAACTATGCAAGTACCTATCCAGTATAAAATTCCAAAGAACTTCACTGATTTGCACAGAAATATACTTTCTTCTTGAATAATATCAACCAGTAACTGCTGTATTTCATTATCAAGAAGACAAATTGGTACATTTGACCCACAAGTGGACACCAAATTACCATGGGACAGATAGTTCCCCCCTGCATTGAATGTACTTTGATAAAATTGATGTCTCTCAGCTAGTGACTTACACAATTTTTTCTTGTTTTTAGTTCGGAAAACAAGTTTTTTAAAATAATTATGTTTTCCCTCAAACCGCAATGTTTGCAAATGAACCAGGGGACCAAACATCATGAACAGATGCGGATAATGAAGAGTATAATGAAACTTGGGTTTGACAGTTTCATCTGGGAAGCAGTTTCTGTAAGAGTCATGAAACTCTTCAATGACATCAGCCATCAACAAAACATGTTCTCTGGCAAGAGCTGGTGCACAAACATAAAAAAGCACATCTCGTAAGCAAAGTAGACATTCCCATATTCTGTTATTGACAGGGACTTTACTTCCGACTAACAAGGGCAGAACCCTAACAAAACACCACATCTGAGCAGCTGACTGCTTTATGTTCAGTTTTCGAGGTATGTTGGTAACCTTTGATGGTTTGTTGCTTTTATCTACTTCAGAAAATTTGAATTTTAAAATTCTGTCATTCAAATATTCAAGATCAAAAAACCCCTCTGAAACGCACACTTTTATGACATTAGTCATTACTTCGCAAACCACTCCCTCAAAAAGATCATGTGCAATATCTGATGGCATGCCATTTATAGAGTGAAAATTTTGGAGTTCATTCAAACAACAAGTTCCCTTTAATCCATAGACTGGTGCTAGACTAGAATCATTCTCTACAAGTCTCACTTGTTCAGTATGCATTTGAATTGTTCTCATATTAAGATTTTGACAATCAAATTTTCTTTGCATGTCTGCTTTAGTGATGAAACAAAATCGACAGTTCCTTAAGGTTGTAAAAGATTCCATAAAACCTCCTAAACTATGTGCTCCTAGATTGTCAGCAATCACAACACTTACTGTGCCAAAAAGTGTGTGGTCCCCATCTGATTTTGAAACATTTATACCCTCTGTTTCTAATGTTTTCAAATCATTTATCAAGGGTTCCAAGATTTTTTTGTAACCATTGTTCTTAATAGTATGTGACATGCAAAGAGCCACAAGTTGTATGCAATACAATTGGGATCTGAACTTAGGTGGAAGATTGCCCAGTAACATATAAAATCCCCCAATTTTGTAGTTTTTTATTTGATGACCTAAGGGATTAACAGCTGTGAATTCATCAAAGAACAACATTATCTGAATTGCATTAGGATCATTTGCAAACAATGCATTTCTTTGGTACACTTCTCCATCACAAAAATCTCGAATTACCCCATCTGTGGATTTGTGGTTATTCATAATGTAGGAGAATACATCATCATGAGACAACAAATTTTGAAGAGTTTCCAAAATTGGGACATACTGATAAGTATCATTTCTTGTCCAGTCCGGCTTAAATTCAAGTGGTTTTACATACTGTAGTTCTTTCTTTGCAAATTTGTTTATTTTGTACTCAGAATTCAAACTGGTAAAGGCACTTTCTACTTGAGATTTCTCTTCCACAATCATTTTCAACTGATTACAATGTTCTTCATTTAGCTGAAAACTTTCTGAAAATTCATTCAACGACTGAGAAAACTGGGCTTGATGGAAGTCTATCATTGATAAAAATTCATTCACTATTTCTGGAATGACTACAGATGGCAACTTATATTTTTCTCTTAACGACAACAAAAATATCCCAAGTTTTCTCTGAAAATTTATTTCAGGAGCTATTGTCATTTCCATCTCTTCTTCATCTGATTCTATCTGATTCCCATTGCCCTCATCATTAACTTCTACAAGTGACTCTAAAATATCTTCATTTCTGAACTGTTCTTTTGAGTTTGACAAATGTGTCTGAAAAAACATCCCATGATTTCTTTTAATATGTTTCAGATAGGAATCTATTTTAGAATATGTGCGCTCACATCCATCTATAGAACATGATAAACAAAACCCGTGTTCATGACTGTGCACAAACCGATAATGACTGATTAATTTGAAAAAATGTCTTAACTGGTAATCACATTTCAAACATGAGTGCATTTTCTTTCACACTGAATTTATACTTTTACATCTTATATATGACAATGACGTTGGTATATTTAAGCCAAATTATTGAATTGAAAATTGTATTAAATTAAGACAAGAATGCTATGCTTGCTAGGTAAATCTGAAGAAGAAGAAAAAAAATGGTAAAGTGTAACTTTATGTAAGAATAAATTTGAATAAAACCTAGTAAATCATTACATTTTTAGGGAACAGTTGCTCACTCACTATACCATTTGAAGGCCCCAAGATTCACAAACACAGCACACATGTGTCACTCGTCACTTCAAATGTATATGCCAAGATTGCTTTCTGTTCCTTATAAATTTAATGATTTATCAACATACTATATATTATTAATATATAAACAAGAAGGATGGATAGTGACAGTTTAGATGGATATCCCTATAGTATAATAACGGGAATTTAAGAAAATCTGTATTCAGTTTGTTAATTCAATGTGAATAGTGACAGAATGAAAAATGTTGAATTATTTACTTACAGGGCCACTTAAAACTTCAGGTTTTTAATTCTGTTTAGACGTGTTTTGAGCATTTTAAACTCCTGCCAACGGACTAATAGAGGGTTTGTTGATTCGGCTCTTTCCCATGAAAATTCTTTTGGTTTCATAGTTGGTTGTTTCGCACTATATCCACTTTCACTTGAAATATGAATTGGTGATTTCTCGGTTGCATGACTATCATTACCAGGTCCAGCACAATCTCTTGATTAAGCTATATAGCTTTAAAAAGCTATATAGCTTTATTAAGCTATTCAAAATAGCTTGATAAAGCTATTTATATGCAGTTTTTCACAAAAACTTTTTTGTAAGAAATAAACAAAAAGTCGCAAGTATTTGACTATTCATATATGTACTATGGACTTTCAAAAATACAACCTAAATCATAGAAAGTTCTTACATTGCTGCTGTTGAATACTTTAAGCAAAATATTAATTTCCATTGTTTGAGTAGCTGTGTGTGCGGTGAGGCGTGGGTAAGTATGATTGCCTCTCATTGTGCTGAACTGTTACTAATCAATTATCCTGTTGGCCATAACTGACCTCCTTTATAATTTCATTCAAGAAATAACTGTGTGGTCACTCATCAATAGCCCCAAAACTGTTAAAACTTTGAATACAAAGTCTCTCAAGGAGACGCAATTTGGTGAGTGATTTTTACATGCATTGTATTCAGAAGAGAACAAAGTTTAATATTTCCACTGCATCTAGGTGCGACTTTTTGCACATGTTGAAAAAATAACACATTTGAGAAAAAAGTCTGAGAAAATAGCTTAATCAAGCTATTCTGAATAGCTTAATAAAGCTATATAGCTAAATCAAGCTATATAGCTTAATCAAGAACTGAATGTACTTGTACATTCCTCCTTTTCATCTAAGTTTTGGATTTCGTGTGAATTGTTGCTGTTATTTTTCGTCTCACTTGTATCTTTTGAAAACTTGTTTTTCTTTTTTTGGGTCATTTTTCGTCTCTTTGCAAATGATTTCCGTTTTTCTTTTTCGTGCCTTTCCATGATTAAAACCGGTTGATGCAACCTAAAACCAAAACCAAAACTGTACACCTATCTTATTTCCGAATTGAAAATACAATGACCCCCTCCTACCGCGAAAAAAAAACATACGGACTACGGTGATAACAAAACAAAAGAAACTCGCCTGAATACTCTTTGAATTTACTTGAATTTAGATACTTTAAATAACTATTCGATATCATGAGACGCCTAACTTACAGGTACCTACATAAATCATCGCACTCCCAACCCTTCTTCCCTGCTTCCCCTCCCGCCGAAAAAATAAAAAAGAAATGAGAGTAAAAAAATTACATGGATACTTTTTTCTCCATGAATTCTTTTCAAAAATAGACTTATAGTAGCCGTGCGTTAGTATGGGGTGCCTCTCTTATCTACATATTCTCGTACAAGTATTCGACTTTTTTCTGATGCAAGTTTACAAAGAAAAAATCAACTTGAAAAGAATAAAACGTAGTCTTAATACAAATATATACAGCCCAGAAAAAAATCAAAGATAAATTATGTTAAAAAGATAATTCTGCTTCATTTAACATTTAGAACATATTTACTTACCTAATGATGAAACACCGCATTCGGGTCAGCAGTGGTCAGTACTGAAGCAATTTCACTTGCAAGATGGCGTCCGGTTCCTTCGAGCGCTGGCCTAAATATTCCCATCCTTTGTCTAAAGGGCGCGGAAATATTTAATGATGTAATTTGATACCTAAGCGCAAGGGTGATGGCTTATCTAGTATCAGCAACTGGTCAAAATAGTTGCGCGATATTTTTACTAGGCGCGATAAGCGGATTACTTAGTAAACTAGTGACTTCTACTAGGTAATTCTGTCAGTGAAACCTTTTTTTCATCACCGACATAAACATGTCATTAGTGTATTTCTTTGACAAGGAATCAGCCAAAAGTTTTTCAGAGAAATTTTAAACATGCAAACAAATTAAGCATGGGTCTTCTATAAAAATCATTTCAAGAGCTGACTGCATGATTGCATGGGAAAAGGGGTTCAAGTAATTTTTTTGATAACTTTTAAAGCAATATGAGCTGCATTTTTGAGAATTTTATTTTGCCGGTAAAATGTGTTATGATTAATCTGTATGTTATCTAAACCATTATGATCAATAAGACCAAAAAATTTTAAAAAGTTTAAAAATGTTCCAGAAGAAATATTTCTGAACTGAACATACAGTATAATATAAGAAATCATTATTGTACAGGACGACAATAATTCAATTTTGCTCCAATCAAAGCTTATATAAAGTACTTTTATAGCAAATATAAACAACAGAAGTTTATAAACGTTCTATTTCCCTGTCATTGAAATACTTAATAACAATTTTTTTTTTGATGTCAAACATGCAGCTCATATTGCTTTAATCAAGGTCTGAGAGAGGTTCAGATTCTACACCTGTTCAAGATCCGCGCATGGATTATGTTTTTAATGACGTAATGACGTAAAGTTTTTTTGTAAATAAAACAAAAGAATGGTTGATTAAAAATATTCTTTACTCGAGCAAGGCTTACATGTAATTCATGGATATAATGTTAAATAAATCGTAGTATTATATTAAGACTGTCAAAAGTTAAAACAGTACTGAGCTTCAGTATACTTTATTGGGGCATTATCCTTAATAACCAGTCACCATGGATATTTTTCATAGGAAAGACAAGACTTTGATCTGGTCATTCTTCCACTCACTGACATAAAGATCATCATTCTCATCGATACACAAGGCTCGGGGCATTTTCATGTCTTCGTAGTAAAGAAAACAGATAAAGCCTCCATTCTGATTTATCATATGTATTTTGTCGTTTTTCATATCAGCCACGATGATATTGCATTCAGAATCAGAACATATGCCGTATGGATCGAAGTTAGAATCCTGAGAAATACCTCGGTATCGAAATCTGAAAACTCCTTTTTCATCTATTACCACAACAGCTCCCGAGTCCGAAACACAAATGTCTTTGTTGCCATTTTCTGTTAAATGCGTTGGAAATGTAAATAAAATTTTATGTTTATCATTTTCAAATTTACACAATTCTCTCAAATCCATCTGGGCAATATGTTCAATTTTTTGTAAACTGAACTGATTTAAACTGATTTTTTTTTATCGCGAGCTACTACATTCAAATTTTATGATTTTTCCCTGAGATTTTTCCTGAAATTTGAAGTTTGCACATGCTAACTATAATATTTCTGTTCATACATGGTTTACACACTGCCATCCCATGAACAAAGTAGTTAGGATCAGGAAGAAACTCAAATGCATTTGATTTTGAATTCGAATAATTGGAATCAAAATATATACATTTGATTGATTTCTGGGAGGTAAATAAAAAAAAGTTTTCAGATTGGTACTTTAGATAGAGAGAGTACGATCCATTATGTATTAAATGTTCAATGTCTCCATTTTGCGACAGACTATATCGTGGTAGGTAGGTACCGGGAGGAAGACAGCTTCTGTAGTTATCATCATCCAGCGAAAGACTTACTTTTCCATTACCGACATAGGACATGTCGAATATGTATTTCTTTGGACTGCTTATTTCCTTGACAATTTTATACACACGTGGATTCTTTGCTTCTTGGATTGCCTTTCAAATGAGAATTCTTTTTTATTAGTACGAGTGTTATATTTACATTTTTAGAAAGGAACTAGTGGTCTCATGTATTGGGTTAAAAGGTGTCTGCTTTCAAAAAAAGTTATAGATAAGGTAATTACTTAATTATTTTAAAGTATTTTTTTTAATTCCTATCCAGGAAGCTCTAAACATTAACAGAAACTGCTTTTTGGACGTAAAAATATAAAGGAGAGCAAAATGAAAGTTTTCAGTCATTTATAACAAAGGGTACCTGACTAAATTCCGCTGAAAAATAGTTCAAAGACACTGGACTATTTCTGAACAGAATTAACGAGGCCCTGAACTGCGCATACATTTGAAGGTTTGAAGCATTGAGCGTCGACTCAGGCACGTCACAGTACCCTTGACGGCCGTCAAAATTGAACACAATAACGTCACAATTAATTTGACGTCAAATTGTGCTAAAATGCTTCGCTGATCTTGCGTACCTGAGTAGCTCTATAGCTGTCGAAAGCTGGTATTTATATTATTTAATTTTTTATAATTAAAAAACAACTTTGGACCATGCATATAACTTATTTTGAGGTATCAATTTCTTGGTACATATACATTAATTTTACCTTGTTTTATTTGAATTTGTGAGTTTAAGAAAAACAAACACTACAACCAAAAGTAAACGATTTAAGTCTTTCTCCTTGAACTTGTTGAAGTGTTTATACACACCCTTTTTTATTGAGGACTTAAATCTGCATGAATTAGCTTGAAATAAAATAAACTAGTCTATGAATCTGAACCATATAAATGCATACCCCAAAATATTAGTAAAATGAGTTTTTTTGTCGCCTTTACCCCCTCCCTCCTATTCCCACGTATAAGAACGTCGGGTTTTAAGAAAAAATTAAGCATGGAGAGATAATTATTTCAAAATGAAGGAATGATTTTTTTTTTAGAAGCTAATACAGTATTGCAATCGTATGTTGATGTTATGTAAACCCATGGCGACTTAATTTATATCTGGTTGGATAAAAAAAATCCTTATTTTGTGGTGTGAGAAAAAGGACATCAATCAGCCAAACTGTTCATGAAATTTATTAGGACCCGACACTCTTAACCAAACTATGTGACATTATTTTAAATTTTAATTTTGATCATACATCATTATACAATTAATTACTCTTCATCAGGTCTATATATATTCTGCATTAAACTTTATTTTGTAACAAGACAACAACAAGACAAAAAATGTTGCAACATAAACAAAAAACAATTCTAATACTCCAGTATTTTATGCCGGTGAATTGTCTAAGCATTTTGATTGTAACATATGAATTCATACATGAGAAATTCATTTTTTAAATTTGTCATTCAGATGATAGTGGATATTAACCTGATTGACATGAGAAAATAAAGGGCCACAGGAAGGGATGCTTGACACTCTGCGTGAGGAAATACCAGAGTTATCTCGAATAGCGCTATTTTCCTTTTCTGACTCAGGAAACTCGTTAAAAATTTCAGAAACTAACTGAACATTATCCAGCTGCTGAACTTCATAATTTGAAATATTAGAGAGATCGAAATTCAAAATTTGAGCACTTTCTTCAGAACCATAAGCCGTTGATGTTGTATTGACAACACTCTGTGAAACACTGCACATTTCATGCTTTTTCTCATCAGACACATTTCTAGAATAACTTTTGATCGAGTTTTCATTTTTGTGGCCACTTATAGACATTATATGACGAGCTTCAACACCTTTTTGATCCAATGTGGTTATGCAGGTGGCACGGATAGAGTGATTTGTATAGGTGTGCGACAGTTGAACTTTTAGTGACATGGTTTTCATGAAACTCCCCAGTGTGTTATGCCCAACTGGAATGTTATCATACCACACGATATCATGGTCTTTGAACTTCTTCTTCGGTCTCTGCCAAAAGCAGTCGCAGCTTTCATTCAGTTTAGCTAGATATTTCTCTAAGCTTTACACTGGGCATTTTGACATTCCTGTATAAAAAAAAAAATATCAGAAATACATAATATGTAACTTAAAATTGTCTATCTTGATAATTTTCTAGGAATTTTTCAGATTTCTATTTTTTATTTAAATAAAACTATAGAATGATATACAATACCTGGCATTTCATATATTCTGCCACTAGAGGAATCATCATCACCAACATCTGCGCCCCTGTGATTTTTTGTCTCATACTTGGCAAAGTTTATGTAATATCGCCTGCCATGGGAATCACTTTTAAGAACGAAGTCCGTTTTCTTCATACACCTTAGGTTTTCACGCCCTCTACGACACGAATAGAACATAATGTCCAGGAACACTTTATACTGTAATCCCCGTGGTTCAGTCATGTTAACGGTTCCCGATGTGTAGAGCTTTTCAAAATCTGCAGCGCTTATCACTTCTTTATGCTGTACGGTTCCCTTTCCCGATCTTTTTATCTCAGTCAACACAGCTTTAAACATTTCGTTCGCCAAACGAAAGTTTGCATCGTTAACAATATCAAACTTTCTATGTGTCAAAAAATGTCTTTGTACACCGAATCTTATACTTATCATTGACGTTCTCGAATATAGATCCCCATTCTTCTTCCTTATTTCGGCATAAAAACTTATGAGAAACTCGGCAAGTTCATCTTTCGTTTTTTCCAACAACGCATTACTCTCCATTTGCTCTGCTCTTATTTTGTATATTTGTTTAATGGACGTTGAGATTGAATACTGTTCGTTATTTCCATATCCTTCTCCAAGTTCACCTCACAATAGTCTGAGAGAATTTTCACTGCCGCAAGAATACAGTTTTTAGTGTTAGCACTGTCTCTATTTTCTAAAATTTTCTGTAAATCAACTGACGATAAATTTTGAAACCTGCTCGTCTCGGTCATCTTGTGACTGTAAGCAGTGGCAACAGACGACATAAATCTACGTAATTGTGCACTGTAACTGCTGACGTAATACACCAACATAATGAGCCAAGGGGCAAAACTCATCAGTCTTTAGGTCTAGGCTTTATTTCCATAAAGCGTACTGTCACTATTATAAATTTTATTTACATAGAGTGTATTTTCAAATTGAATTTGGTAATGCCTAACAATCTTAAAAAATTTAGCGGTCATTAATTATAATGACTGGGTCATTATATCCCGCGTGCAATGATTCCTGGGTCATTTTTGCTGTAAACAGTACCATTTGGAGTCATTGTTGTGTTTTAAAGTTTTCTTATCAGCCAATCAAATTCCAGTATTATCAATAGAGGTATATTAATATATAGTAAAGAGTGTTTCGGCGGTTTTAAAATGGCTATATGCCCTAAGGCCCACCTCATCAGGGGTCCACCTTAGCAGTTGTATTCTTGTGGTAAACGTGATCTAATAATCATATCACCTATGCTTTAGTGCTTGCTGTAAGCTACAACTGGTTCCGATGTAAATATTTCTTTGCATCTTGTGTCTGTTTTCATTTCATTCCAATATTTTAAGATGCGTCTTTTTAATCCTTTGATTCTCGGAATATATTTTGTATTTTCACTGTATTAAAGGCTACCTCCAATTTTCTTTTCATTTTTTAAAAGAAGAATAAAAATTTCATGATATATGTGAAAAACAAACCATTTCATCCTGTATTTTTTTTATCTTGAATTTTTTTGTTTATTGGAGAATCTTACTATGTAATTGTGTATAAAAACACAAAAAATGGTCCATATCTTGACAGTGCCCCCATTTGACTACAATAAAGGCAAGGTAACAAAATTTCATTCTAATTTTCCTTGGCATAATACATACAAAAAGACTTCCAAAAATCAAAAAAAAATTTCATTCCGTTTTCGTAATTTTCAACTAGATCAGGCCTCGTTAAGTCGTTGCTGTTTATACTTATATTGATAAATATAAATGAAAATAATAAATTTAATTACTTATTCTTGGCCTTATATATAGGTATTGCTAAAAGTATATTAATCTATCACAAATTGTAAAATTAACTGTAAATGACAATGTTTAAAATCATAACTTGTAATGGCAGATCACTCTTACTGCATAAAACTACCTTGTTAGCTCTATAGTGGAATGTGTTTAGAGCTTCTTTAATATACTATTTACAACTGAAAGTCCAAAAACCCTTTCATTTAAAAAATGCAAGTATGATTTGCAAGCCCCATTGATTAAAAGAGCATAAGAATCCACAATTACATATATGATAATAATAATAATAAACAAAAGGCCTTAGCAGACCCCTCAGTATAATGTTATGATCCATAGATTATAAAAAAGGCTACTAAATTAAGCAATGTTGCCCATTAGCTTGAATAAAAACATGATTAGGAATCTCTTAAATATGAATAAGGTATACATACTCGGTTATAAACCTTAAAGTTAATCTATAAATTTGTCTGTTCTTTCAACCATTCGTCACTATATCAATGTATATTTAACAAAACAAATGTTCTAAAGAACAAATAGTTAAAACTTATCATTTCCTTTTACATTGTCCTTTTTTAGTCTTTGAACATTATTTAGAGTACAAGATATCGTATTTAAGTTTCAGGTTCAATAATCTAATTTTTAAGTCTACTAGGCTTTTTGTATTTAGATATTATAAAAAGAATATTGTATAGTTATTCAATTAACCTTTTCAGATATACTATTCTCAGTTATTAAAATCCATAAAAGTTAAATGATTACATGTTTAACTTAAATATATACACATATAAACAGCAATATAACCATGGCACAAAGATACACATTATTTGTACGTTAAGCTTTCAGGAAATGTCAAGGCAATGAAGACTTACCATTTGTGCTTGCATTTGTCCTTCGTCTAACATTCCAGAGGTGTGTGTAGATTTGTCTGTAACTATCACCGTATGTACACTGATCGACAGGTCAGACTTAAACTTAAGGTTAAACTTAAGGTATTTACTTTGTATTTGATTTTTCTTTTAAAAAATAGAACCAACTGATATCAAGCACGTTTTCATTTCTAGTCCGATGTGTGTAATTATCCGATTGATAAGGCATTCTGATGGCCTCATATTGAGGTAAAATAAGAGGGGGTGGGACAATCAATAAATAGCCGCTTCATAACAATTATTATTCATTCCAAAGGTAAACGCATGTTTGACAAACAGGGATACTAGCAGACGACAATAATTGAATGTCTCGGGATATTATAAAAATGTTCCCTTCATACTATAACCTCTGTACTTTCCTTAGATCCGTTATTTGCAGACCTGTTGTTGTCTTGATATGAAGCAAAATTTATTGCATATCTTGTACAGGAAAACACTTGCCGAAGCCTTTATCTCAAAATTTATATATTTAAACGACGTAATTAATTAACAGTAGATATTTTGATTCATGTGGCGACACAATGTATCTCAGTGAGTTTGAAATAAAAAATACAAGAGAAACTGACAAATCTTTTTCATATAAGGATAGATTTCATTGTATGATTTTGCTCTGAGTCAGTTGTCTTTTCATGTATTTCAGGGATAAATGATTTAAATATCAATGAATGTTTTGAAATTTAAAAAAATATAAATGATATGATTTGATATACTTTTCCACATTTAATATAGAGGGCCATACGAACACTCGTTCTTTGATAAAATATTTACATTATCATGGTTATTGGGCGCCATGCTATTACAGGTGATATTTTGATGAGATATAAAATGTTAACACAGCAACGAGCTTGCTTAAACTGTATAAGGACAAAATATTTATGAGTCATCAGTATGCAGATGCTTCCACTGCAGCTGGGACTAAATGATCTTTATCTTTTATATGATGACATAAAGATTATCATACGCAACAAAACAAATGTACACATATATACACATCATTGTCAATAATTACAATATCAACAAGTATAGAAGTACTCGTACGTACAATCCCCCTTTTTGGAGGTCAATGATTATGGCGGTCAGGATTCCATTATAGCAAAAACCTTGAAAGAAATTCAAAAGAGTGAACTAGGATACTGATAGGATAGCATACTGATAGCATTGGCCTTTCAACCTGAGGCTATTTGATTTTGTTCACTAAGAAGAAATGATCCTGATGCGTTCATTCTTCCACTCACTGACAAAGACATTATCATTCTCATCAATACACAAGGCTCGGGGCATTTTCATGCCTTCATAGTACAGAAAACAGATGAAGCCTCCATTCTGATCTATCATATGTATTTTGTCATTTTTCATATCAGCCACGATGATGTTGAATTCAGAATCAGAACATATGCCGTATGGATCGAAGTTAGAATCCTGAGAAATACCTCGGTATCGAAATCTGAAAACTCCTTTTTCATCTATTACCACAAGAGCTCCTGAGTCCGAAACACAAATGTCTTTGTTGCCATTTTCTGTTAAATGCGTTGGAAATGTAAATAAAATTTTATGTTTATCATTTTCAAATTTACACAATTCTTTCAAATCCATCCGGACAGTATCATGTTCAAAATGTTTGAAACTGGTCAATCGCAAGCTACTACAAACAAATTTTAGGATTTTTCCTTGAGATTTTTCCTGAAATTTGCCATTCCACATGCTAACTATAATATTTCTGTTTATACATGGTTTACACACTGCCATCCCATGAACGAAGTAGTTAGGATCAGGAAGAAACTCAAATACATTTAATTTTGAATTAGAATAATTGGAATCAAAATATATACATTTAATTGATTTCTGGGAGGTGAATAAAAAGAAGTTTTCAGATTGGTACTTTAAATAAAGAGAGTACGATCCATTATGCATTAAATGTTCAATGTCTCCATTTTGCGACAGACTATATCGTGGTAGGTGGGTACCGGGGGGAAGACTTCTGTTGTAATCATCATCCAGCGAAAGACTTATTTTTCCATTACCGACATAGGACAAGTCAGATATGTATTTATTTGGACTGCTTATTTCCTTGACAATTTTATACACACGTGGATTCTTTCCTTCTTGGATTGCCTTTCAAATGAGAATTCGTTTTATTAGTAGGAGTGTTATATTTATATTTTTAGAAAGGAACTAGTGGTCTCATATATTGGGTTAAAAATGTGTCTGCTTTCAAAAAAAGATATAGATAAGGTAACTACTTAATTATTATCAAGTAATTATTTTTTTAAAAATTCTTATCCAGGAAGCTCTAAACATTAACAGAAACTTTTTTTTTTTGGACGTAAAAATATAAAGGAGAGCAAAATGAAAATTTTTCATTCATTTATCACAAAGGGTACCTGGCTTAAATCCGCTGAAAATGGTTAAAAGACACTGGACTATTTCCGAACAGAATTAACGAGGCCCGATCTACTTCAACTGCGCATACATTTTAAAGCAGCGTCGACTCAGGCACGTCACAGTACCCTTGACAGCCGTCACAATTGAAGACAATAACGTCACAATTAAAATGGCGTCTAATTGCGCGAAAATGCTTCGCTGATCTTGCGTACCTGAGTAGCTTTATAGCTGTCGAAAGCTGGTATTCTATTATTTACATGTTTGTTTTTTTTTTTTTTTGTTTGTTTGTTTGCTTGTTTTTTTTTTTTTTTGATTAACAAACAACTTTGGACCATGCATATGATTTATTTTGAGGTTTCAATTTTTTTGGTACATATTCATTAATTTTACCTTGTTTTATTTGAATTTGTGAGTTTAAGAAAAGCAAACACTACAACCAAAAGTAAACGATTTTAGTCTTTCTCCTTGAACTAGTTGAAGTGTTTTACACTCCCTTTTTTATTGAGGACTTGAATATGCATGAATTAGCTTGAAATAAAATAAACCAGTCTATGAATCTGAACCATATGAATGCATACCCCGAAATATTTTATTTTCCTATATATATTACATGATATTATTAAAATTAGTAATTTTTTCGCCTTTACCTCCTCCCTCCTTTTTCCACGTATAAGAACGTCGGGTTTTAAGAAAAAAATAAAGCATGGAGAGATAATTATTTCAAAATGAAGGAATAATTTATTTTTTTAGAAACTAATACAGTATTGCAATCGTTGATGTTATGTAAACCCATGACGACTTATTTTATATCTAGCTGGATAAAATAAATCCTAATTTTGTGTTTTGATATGCCCCTTTTCACTGTAATAAAGGCTACCTCCAATTTTCTTTGCATTTTTTAAAGAAGAATAAAAATTATATGATATATGTGAAAAACAAACCATTTCATCCTGTATTTTTATTTTTATCTTGAATTTCTTTGTTTATTGGAGAATCTTACTATGTAATTGTGTATAAAAACACAAAAATGGTCCATATCTTGACAGTGCCCCATTTGATTACAATAAAGGCAAAGTAACAAAATTTCATTCTAATTTTCCTTAGCATAATACATACAAAAAGACTTCCAAAAATCAAAATTTTTTATCATTCCGTTTTCGTAATTTTCGGCTAGATCAGGCCTCGTTAATTCGTTGCTGATTCTACTTATATTGATAAATATAAATGAAAATAATAAATTTAATTAATTATTCTTGGCCTTATATATAGGTAATGCTCAAAGTATATTAAGCTATCACAAATTGTAAAATTAACTGTTAATAACAATGTTTTAAATCATAACTTGTACATTTAAGGGCAGGTCACTCTTACTGCATAAAACTACCTTATTTGTGCGCTGTGTTTAGAGCTTCCTTAATATACTATTCACGACTGAAAATCCAGAAACCCTTTCATTTAAAGAATGCAAGTATGATTTGCAAGCCCCATTGATTAAAAGAGCATAAGAATCCACAATTACATGTATGATAATAATAATGATAATAAACAAGAGGCCCATGGGCCTTAGTCGTACCCTCAGTAGAGTGTTAAATTCATTAATTATGATAAAACAGCTACTAAATTAAGCAATGTTGCCCATTAGCTTGAATAAAAATATGATTAGGAATCTCTTAAATATAAATTAGGTATACATACTCGGTTATAAACCCTAAAGTTGATCTATTTATTTGTCTGTTCTTTCAACCATTCGTCACTATATCCATGTATATTTAACAAAACAAATGTTCTAAAGAACAATTAGTTAAAACTTATCATTTCCTTTTACATTGTCCTTTTTTTAGTCTTTGAACATTATTTAGAGTACAAGATATCGTATTTAAGTTTCAGGTTCAATAATCTAATTTTTAAGTCTACTAGGCTTTTTGTATTTAAATATTATAAAAAAAAATGTTGTATAGTCATTCAATTAACCTTTTCAGATATACTATTCTCAGTTATTAAAATCCATAAAAGTTAAATGATTACATGTTTAACTTAAATATATACACATATAAACAGCAATATAACCATGGCACAAAGATACACATTATTTGTACGTTAAACTTTCAGGAAATGTCAAGGCAATGAAGACTCACCATTTGTGCTTGCATTTGTCCTTCGTCTAATATTCCTGAGGTATGTGTAGATTTGTCTGTAACTATAACCGTATGTACACTGATCGACAGGTCAGACTTAAACTTAAGGTTAAACTTAAGGTATTTACTTTGTACTTGATTTTCCTTTAAAAAATAGAATCAACTGATATCAAGCACGTTTTCATTTCTAGTCAGATGTGTGTAATTATCCGATTGATAAGGCATTCTGATGGCCTCATATTGAGGTAAAATAAGAGGGGGTGGGACAATCAATAAATAGCCGCTTCATAACAATTATTATTCATTCCAAAGGTAAACGCATGTTTGACAAACAGGGATACTAGCAGACGACAATAATTGAATGTCTCGGGATATTATAAAAAATTTTCCCTTCATACTATTACCTCTGTACTTTCCTTAGATCCGTTATTAGCAGACCTGTTGTTGTCTTGATATGAAGCAAAATTTATTACATATATTGTACAGGAAAACACTTGCCGAAGCCTTTATCTCAAAATTTATATATTTAAACGACGTAATATCAATTAATTCACAGTAGATATTTTGATTCATGTGGCGACACAATGTATCTCAGTGAGTTTGAAATAAAAAATACAAGAGAAACTGACAAATATTTTTCATATAAGGATAGATTTCAGTTGTTATCTAACGACAAACATTTATGCTAAACGTGATTGTTTCAAATTGCCATACATATCAGCAACATTGCCTTAACACACGCATAGTGATATTTCGTAATCGAAGCAAATAGTACACAAGCAATGCAAGTTGATATAACAAAATTAAAGACACAGTTTCAGCTAAATATTTTCATTTTTCCCCATTTTTAGCTCACCTGAGCCGAAGGCTCAAGTGAGCTTTTCTGATCAAAATTTGTCCGACGTCTGTCGTTGTCATTGTTGTCGTTGTCGTTGTCGTAAACTTTTCACATTTTCATCTTCTTCTCAAAAACACTGGGCCAATTTCAGCCAAACTTGGCACAAAGTATCCTTGGGTGAAGGGAATTCAAGATTGTTCAAATGAAGGGCCACGCCCTCTTCCAAGGGGAGATAAATAGGAATTAGTGAAAAATTAATAACATTTTTAAACGATCTTCTTCTCAAGAACCACTGGGCCAGGAAAGATGAAACTCATGTGGAATTATCCTCAGGTAGTGTAGATTCAAGTTTGTTCAAATCATGACCCCCGGGGCTAGGGTGTGGCCAAAATGGCAGACCAAAGTTTTACACAGGAATAAATAAGAAAAATCTTTAAAAATCTTCTTCTCAAGAACCACTGGGCCAGGAAAGATGAAACTCATGTGGAATCATCCTCAGGTAATGTAGATTCAAGTTTATTCAAATCATGACCCCCGGGGTTAGGAGGGGGCCCAAATGGCCGACCAAAGTTTTATAAAGGAATATATAGGAAAAATCTTTTAAAAATCTTCTTTTCAAGAACAACTGGAATAGAAAAAATGAAACTCATGTGGAATCATCCTCAGGTAGTGTAGATTCAAGTTTGTTCAAATCATGACCCCCGGGGCTAGGGTGGGGCCAAAATGGCCGACCAAAGTTACATAGAAATACATTGAAAAAATCTTTTAAAATCTTCTTCTTGGGACAGGAAAGATGAAACTCATGTGGCATCATCCTCAGGCAGTGTGGATTCAAGTTTGTTCAAATCATGAACCCCGGGGCTAGGGTGGGGCCAAAATGGCCAACCAAAGTTTTACATAGGAATATATAGGAATATTCTTTTATAAAAATCTTCTTCTCAAGAACAACTGGAATGGAAAAAATTAAACTCATGTGGAATCATCCTCAGGTATTGTAGATTCTAGTTTGTTCAAATCATGACCCCTGGGGCTAGGGTGGGGCCAAAATGGTTGACCAAGTTTTACATAGGAATATATAGAAAAAATCTTTTAAAATTTTCTTCTCAAGAATGACAAAGCCATAATTCATCATATTTATATGGAAGCATGCTCAGGTAGTGTAGATTCAAGTTTGTTTAAATCATGACCCCCAGGGCTAGGGTGGGGCCAAAATGGCTGACCAATGTTTTACATAGGAATATATAGGAAAAACTTTAAAAATCTTCTTCTCAAGAACCATTGGGCCAGGAAAGACGAAACTTATGTGGAATCATCCTCAGTTAGTGAAGATTCAAGCTTGTTCAAATCATGACCTCTCGGGCTAGTTTTGGGCCCAAAATGGCTGACCAAAGTTGTACATAAGGATATATAGGGAAAACTTTTAAAATCTTCTTTTCAAGTACTTCAAAGCCATGATTAGTGATATTTTTCTATTTATATGGAATCATCCTCAGGTAGTGTAGATTCTACAATGTTCAAATCATGACACCCAGGAGGGTTAAAATTTAAGCCCCCCCCCTCCCAGTAAACTTTCAGTTTTGATCTGATATGTGCTTTTTCCTAGTAGATGAGCTCTGGTGAGCGATATGGCCCTTGTGCCTCTTGTTATATGTTTAGAAATATTAAAACAAGGTATTTCTAATGATCATCAAGTATTTGAATTTCAGTTGTCAAGATACAAGACAGATTCAAAACGCCAAAGTTTTGTTTTAATGTAATCAAGGCTTTTTTTATTTACATAAAATACCTAAATTTGTCCGTTCAAAGCAGTATATATATACATAAAAGAATTTGATTCTAAATAAGATAAAACAGTTTCTAGAGATTTGCCGAATCATAAATTTTCTATATATGTAAATAAAAAAAGTCACGAGCCTTGTTAAAGGTATAAAGAATTTTAAGTTCTGTATCTCCAATGTAAATCAGCAAATTTTTGCTGATCATTAGAAAGGTATTAGTGAGCAGCTGTAAACAATAAAATTGGTTTTAAAAAATCAGTTGAACCTATGTCCATGCCCCTTTTAAGAAATTATTTTGCAAGTTCAATTGTCGATACAATGACCTTAATTATTAACAAATTCAATCTATCAGTATGTCAAATCTATCAGTATGTCAAATGTTGATGTTTTTCATACTTATTGTTAGGCCAATATTTACGCAATGATTTTCTATGGATCTTTTTCGGTTATATCCCTATCATGACAAGGAGGAGATGTGATTTGTTAGCAGAGGATGCTCACTCTTCAATGGCACCTGATCTTGACTCTGCTGTCTAAAAGTCCAGTGTCTGGTCTATATAGATTTGCTTTATTTATTTGAATTATGTTTGAATGAAAACAAATTGAAAGCTGTTGCTTATTTCCATATACATATACATGTATTTCATTCCAAAACTACTAAGAGATACAGATAAGCAAAAATAATATTTGTTGTCTTTTTTTTTAGATGATTCATATTTTATATTATCTAAAAAAAAATATGGAAATACTTAATGTCGTAAGCTTCCATTTCCTCGTTTTAAAATTCAAATTTTCAAGATAAGTACAGGAGGTTTAATTACGGTCTGTTTGATGCGGAGGATAATTAATCATATATAGGGCCTGATCCTACCTTCGATGTTTTAGGGGTCAGTACTTTACCCTATACACAGTTCGTTTGTTAAAGGGATCTAAAGGGTTGAAGACTATTCATTATATGGACCATTTGAAATTCTTCAAAAAATATACGTTAATTGCATTACAATAAGTTTGATAATTTGTCTTTAATGTCCCTCTTTTTCACTCATGTAGATAAACCACATTTAATTCGATTTTACTTGAATGCTGTTGTTGCTTTTTCGAAACACCAATGAATGAATGAGCACTACCCTTAAGGAATATGTACTTTCGCACTATATTCTTATGCAGATTATGTTTTTGCACCATTAGTAACCAAATAAACGTTTGTAACTCAAGTAATATCCAAATTATACTCGTAATAAGTTAATATGAGTTACAAGAACAGTCAGTACTTGAAATGAGTACCAGTACGCATTTAGCAAAATCTGCTTGCTGGGTGGGGGGGGGGGGGGTGTCAGATGGAGTCAATTGTGACCGACTGAAGCCGTTAACTAAAACAACGTAGGTAGTAGGAGATCATTTTTTTCAAAACCAATCATATGCCGAGGGAGTACACAAAGACATGTGGTCAATAAAAGCATGTACACGGGGACATTCTTTCTAGGACTTAATCAATTACACTTGACATGCCTTTAGCTCACAAATAATACCAACAAATAACAATAATAATCTGCATATTAGAGTGCATTTGTACCAAAAATGCACATTTTAACTCCACAAATTTAGGCATGTTTTTTTTCCTCAAAATGTGTGCCACAGTCGCACCAAGCATCTCAAACCTAGTATATGTTAAAACACCCAGTAGTCTGTGAATTAATGTATGTCCTAATGAAAACTCATCAGTTGATTTAGGGTCATTCACCTTCCCTATGAGATACACACTTACGTCTTAACCCTACTGTCTTCAGGCTGAATATTCTCTGCAACGGACGTGTCCTACTTTGGCATTGACAACTCTGTATACAAGCATCATAGTGACACCTACATTTTGAACATATTTTTTTCAGCATGCACTCTGCTACACTGCAAATTTCTCCCATAATCATTCTAATCATTTTTCTACATAAAATATCCCATTAAACTAAAGGATATCTCATTTTTAAAAAGAAATTTGATCGAGTCTTTATTAAGTAACTTTCCTCTGCCACCCTAATTACAAGTGAAGAATTAAAGTTGAACACGATTCGTACAAGAATTTGTCCGCCGTATTTGCTCGAGCTTTAGCTACATCTGCAAGCCCATATGAAAAGAGCCGGTCACTCACATGCAGTCACTTTTCAGTGTAATGATTTGTCACCGTTGTACATGGACGTATGCTACATGTATACAATACTCAGACTGTCAGAAATAACTGTGTACTTTTTTCCAATGCAGGAAAATAATGAAGATACCAAAGACACTCACAACAGATGCACAGGTCAATGCAATATAATATACAAACAAACACAAATATGCATAAATACAATAAAAATATAAAAAAAAATGTAATTCAAGATAATCAGCACGAACACGGGTCGCCTTTACACGCCGATACACGTGACAATAAAGCTGTCAGGTGTAACGAATGCGATGTATCATAGATAATGATAACGGAAATGGCGTATGCCTATTGACGAGTCGTGTTCAGCTTTAGGATACAATGATGTAGTCTAAGGGCTAAATTGTTAAGGTTAAAATTTAAAACTCCTTCTGATACGTGAGGCTCTTTTATCGTCATAATATAATAAAGAAACATCGATATAAAATATTATGTCAAGTTTATTCCAAAAAGAGGACATATATATTTTTCTTGGAATCATGTATTGTAATTTTGGAAATTATTTTTTCGTGTAGGAAAAAAAATATACATGTATATCCTCAAACTCTCCTCTCGAATGATATGCCTTAATTCACATATTGTCCATTAAGCAGCTTACATGGATCTTCTTTTCTTTCACTGTTTACTTTGTTCTGGTCTGACTGGATTCTGAAATGTTACTATTATCAATTGAAAAATGATAAACTGATTTGATTTAAGACTATAATTTATTACTTAAGACATTTATATGTAAGAAAAATGGAAATTAATTGGGACAACTCAGATCAAAATATACTAAATTGATAAAAAAAAAAAAAAAAAAAAATAGGAAACTGTTTTATAATCATCAATTCACAAAGAAATTGAATTTATTAAGCTCTAGATCTTCTCCTAAAAAATACACGTACTATTAATAAAGACGCAATTGAATGCTTTTTTTTATACAAAGATTTTTAAATGCAGTTTTGCTATCGTGTCTTAACAATGACATTGCTCACTGGTGAACGAGAAAAAGTGTCTAGGTATGCATAGATAATCAAAATTACGTTATGCAATTTTTAATAAGAGTCTAACATTTTTAACATTTATTCATTAATGTATGCGTAGTGTATGCTTTAAAATGTTTTCTGTTATATTATGATATTTTAATTAGATCGATATGTATAAAAAAGAAACAGCTAAAAAGTGTATATTTTCTATTATTTATAACAAACCACTGTCAAATACAGGGATGTACTTAAACAAAAATGACGCTTATTCCATATTTCACCTTTTATATATTTACTTGTGCTTATTAAAATAAAGTGAAACATCACAAACATATATAAGGTTGTCTATGTCAATTACCTTTGTCTTGAAGTAGAAAAAACACAGGGTGGCAATGATGATGCACAAAAATACGACGCCACTCCCAATTAACGGCCCTTTTAGCTTGTCTAGCGTTTGTAAAACGGTTTCAGAGGTCTGAGATTCTATTTTGGTAGGAGAATAAGCTGTACGTAATTAGAGAAGTTCATTAAATAGTGATATGTTCACTGCATAAAATGTTAGAGGAAGTGCAAATAATATTAAAATCAACTTATATAATTATAAATGCACATAATTAAGTGACATAGTTTTTTTTAAAAAAATACATATAACTGAGATTTTTACGCAATATCGCACAAGCAGAAGTTTTAGCGGGGATTTAATTTTGGCATTATCAGCAAGGGTGCCAAGAAAGCTAAAATTGCGTATCCCTAAGAATTAATTGCGCTTTATTTGTAATATCTTCTTTAGTGATCTTTTTAAAATCGCGAAAATTGCATCTCGCTTAAAATAAAATACCATTTTTGGGACAAATTTAAGTCTCGCTAAAATTTCCACTTATACGGTATATTGATAATAAGACTTTATATAACAACGTCCGCGAAGAGCAGTTTCAGAGAGAACTGTTTTTTCCGAACAAATACAAAGACGGACAGATCTCGAGAGATATGCATGCAAGCAGTGGCGGTTTAAAAATACTGCATACATGTTTCATGAAAAGAACACTGCATATAATATTTATCTTTATGTAAGACAGATTAGGCGTTCCATACCCACCTATGGGCGTTATATATGCCAGGAATCCTATCTTAGTACCCATGCTGTCACTGGTAAATCGGATCGTCAAAGATGAGTTTGAGGAAGTAAAGGACTCTGTAGGAGTGGTAAAACCACATACCTTTGTCATCAGAGGGGAGTTTGTAGAGCGTCCTAATTTTTATAAAAATAATGACCCCTCAATTGTTAATCTTTACATATATGTGAAATAATTAAACACGTCATGCATTTGAACCTATATACAAGACCTCCACTGACCAAATGGTATTACGGTACTCTCATATGTATAAATGCAGAGATATTTGATAAAAAAAACTCGACTTATTTTTATTCATACTGAATGCATAATATTATGTAGTTTTGAGTTACAATTTTGTTTAAAAAATTTTCGTGAGTTTGGAAGTGAATATTACAGTATTAAAACTAACATTAAAACAAAAATTTATTTATTATTTATTTATTTATTTATTACATTTTTGAATAAATTAATTTTGCTTTCTTTTTCATTTTTATAAATGTTCATAGTTCAAACATGATTTGTTACCGTTAAAAATTTCGATGAAGTCGAAGCATTCACCATTTACTTCTTCCTCAACGTTTAGATATATAAACTCAATGTTAACGTTTCCGCCGGTATAAGAATATGTGTAAGTGCAAATGATTTCCCTGAAAAAAAAAATAAATATTAAGAGTCATTCTCTGTAACCAGTAAAACTTTGTTTCCACTCATGGTCACCGAATTTGATGAAACTTCACTTATTGTAAGTACTTGACACCAAAAACATAATAAATATATCAAATAATTCTTTGTTGATATGTGTCTCGGTTGCCATGGTTACAGCTGGAAAAAAACATTGAGATTTTAAGCTACTTTAAATATTTACTGAACCTTAATATAAATTAGGAAAAGCAAACAAACCATTACCACAAAAACATGACAGCTTGTTACCACTTATACTGTAATGGAACTGTTTAGAACATATCTCTAAGTAAGTGGTAACCAAGAGCCCATTTGGAATACATTGAGAATGCCGAGATATGTTGAAAAACGCTCAATATTCACTAGTAGTAGGTGTTACATGCTCAAACTCAATAAAAAAAATCAAGAAAAACGATAAAAAATATTTGACCTTAAGTACATAGGTATAAACAATATGATTCTATAAATAACTTTTATGGTTGCCATGGTAACAGTGGAACAAGGAAAATTTGTAACAACCACTGGGTTAATGCTACTGCCTTCAGGAAAAACATGAACATTCAAGACTGTTTTAATGGCAAGTAAATTCTTAAGGTAATTGCCCATACCACGTGAATTTACTTGCCATTAAAACAAGAACACATTATATGACTAACCTTGAATAGTACATATTAGTATGTGGTAGAACTTAAATTAATATTAAATATTTATAAAATTTGATGAAGAAAACAACACTGTTGCTATGGTTACCAAGAAGGGAAAATTTTGTAAATTTTAAATCGATTTTTAACCCTGTGTTTCAGCTTTTTGCATCCAGTTAAAGTTTGGATGACAAGCCAAATTAGCTGTTAATAAATATCAATCACAAAAGTTTTGGGAATCTACATTTAAGGATACGTATCCAAGGAAACCATTTCTTTTCAGATTTTTTAAGCAAACATTTTATGCTTATTTCAAAAGCAACGCTTGATTTAAAGTATCTGATTTGAATTTTTTTCAAATAGGAAAAGTAGGACCACACCAACACCTTTTATTGATCATCAGTTATATTAAAATATGCTTTTTCGAAAATAAAGAATCAGACATACAGAATGTAAAGAAGAAGGTATTGTTTTAGCTTTAAATTTATTGTGTCCTAAAATTTTAATGTTTTCGAAAAGTTCCGAAACTGGCTTAAATATTAGTTGAGTTTATGTCTTTGAAAGATCAGGAAAGAATATGGCATGAAAGAGTTCCTTTCTAGAAACATGATGTCACTAATTTGATGCATTTCTCTAATTCAATCAGAAAACCCCTCAAAATGACCCATTTTCAAGGGGGAATTTTCCTTCAAAAATAGTATCCACAACCGTCGCCCACTTTAGTTTTTGGATATGTTGTGCAAAATACAATGAATCTCATATTTCTTTGTGGCCGATGTCTGTGGACAATATTTTCTGAAGAAAATTCATTTGAAAATTGGTGTCTTCTTCAACATTTTAAGAAAATACGGGAAAATGCACATGTTTATGACGTCACAATAAGCATTTAGAAATGCATGTGAGAAAAAATGATTGGTATAATTTCTATGCATGGAAATTCAATGATTCAGAATACATGCGTTTTCGTTTTTTACATCAGTTTCATTTTTTAAAAAATCACAGGCCAAATTTATATTAAAAACACATCTTCTTTGAAGGCTCTCAATGGTATAAAAACCTTGGTAAGCATTGCCAACCAAAATGAAACATCATAATTTGCTCTTGGTATATGTTTCAAGGCTATTTTTTCTATTACTTTGTTACATGACATTCTAAAATTACTTTTTATTTTTACTTGAGACTTCAAAAAATTCAATGAAATGTTACTTTCACTTTTTTATAAGAGTAACGTATGTAAAAGTTAATTTACTACACATGTTTATTATACTTTAAGACATCGGGCCATTAACTTTAGGTAATAATCATTGCCAATTGTTTGCTTCGCCGCAAATGGTAACTTTGGGGCTCAAAAAATGTTTTAGAAATACTATTTTTCAATATTCAAGACATGTTGCCATAGTAACGATAACACAAAGCAAACGATGTTTCCTGATTTTAGTCTATGGTATCAAAGACTTTTATCATAGAGAGTTTGGAGATATTCTGAGACTATGCATGCCACAGCTCCTATATTAAAATTTTAAGTCTTTTTCAGAGAATGGCCTATAATATCTATCATTAAGATTCAAGAAAAGAGAATAATTACAGTCGTTTCGTAAATATTCAGAAATATTCTACAGAGCTTTCAGGTGGGGAAAAAAGTAGAAAATTATGCAGTTCAAATAATTCATAATGAATTATACTCACATTGGATAATGAGCAGGAAAGTTTGGCGAGGTCAGGGTCTTTTGTTCTGTAACTTCAATAATGTGTACATTTCCAGGGTTAGAACAATGTGCTGAAAAATGATATTTTTGTTAAGTTATTAGAAAACAGAAATGTAAGGAAAATTCATTTGGGACCTGCAAATTTACTTTACTGTAACCGTAATCTGTTAGATTAACCGAATTCGCAATTAAGATATTTTTTTTACAGTTTATCAAAACAACTTAGGCCATTTTATAAATTGCTTTACACATTATAATTAAGAGTGTTATCACTCTTGTTTTAAATTTCCTTCAGTCAAACCTTCAGATGTGTATAGTTTCTGTTTATCATATTGTAAACGCATTTGATTCACTGTTTTGTCAGTAATGAGAATAAAGGTCATTAATTCATAAAAAATCAAATATTTTAATTCAGAATTAAAATATATTATATGTTTTTTTTTAAACGGGAGGGAATTTTTTTGGACCACAATTGGAACTTTTATAATTTATTTTCAAACCATTTATTATTATTATTATTATTATTTTTTTTTTTTTTTTGCATGCACATTATGTATGGATGTATTCTGAAGATTCCATCAATTCATGTCATGATTGTTTTATTAAAAAACGGAGAACTGGTGTTTTAATGGATTTAAAAGAATGAAGATAGTAACTTGCAGAACTTTTATCAGTATTTGACGACATAAAATACTCTCTCCAAATCACACAAATCAATTTTTGTTACCCCTCATTCCCACAAGTTGTTTGTTTTCGAAATAAATAGCATTAAGTAACACACGGTTTGAAAATAAAGACATCAATCAGCCAAACTTGGCCACGAAATTGATTAGGACCCAAAATCGACCTATATAAAGGATACAACTGATTTTATTAATCGAAACTATGCCTACCATCGCAAATCTTATTGATCTTATTGATCACATACGATGTTACAAGTATGTATATTAATATGGTTGCAAAATGTAATCCCCGAATCAAAGGATTTTAAAAAACGCATCTTAAAATACTGGAACGAAATGAAAACAGACAAAAGTTTAACCCTGAATTTACCCTAGGGTGAAAAATGAATTTCAGAATCCTAATTGCATATCTTTAATACACAGCGAAACTTCTTAAAGATGATTAGACCACTTCATAAATTATAATAGGTGTTCTGGGAACCAGATCTTACTATCAAAATAATAAAGGATCTCTATTTTTTTTTATCCAAAAATCTGTATGCATTTCTACAGGGCACAAAGAATTATCTTTCAAGAGAATATTAGGCTACTGCTTAAAATGTAAGATATTTTCTGAGAACCACTTTTTGAATAATTTGAATAAAAAAAATCGGATAAGTTTCAAACTGTTTGTTAATTTCCATTACACTTTCTTTCACTATTGAAAACTTCGTCAAGGTGTTATTGGTCGGTCTCACTGCACAAACAAGGTATGCTTACTCATTCTAAGCACCTGGTCCCACCTTTTGATTTTTTTTTTATATAGATTAGTATTTTCCTGTTACATGTAAAGCATTTTTTTGTCTAAAGATATAGAAAAATAATTGAAATTCATGACTGTTCATAAGAATCTAAAATATAGATAAGTAGGTATACCATCTTTCTACTTAAAAAAATCAGTATTCTTAAGGGACCTTCCTCTAGAATCAGCCAAAGACCCCTTCAAGGTATGTTAAATGTAAAAAAAAAAAAAATATCTGAAAATGCAAATTCTTACATTCATCCTTTCCAGTTAAAAACGATACTTGAAATCCATTTTCATAAATGTTCTGTATTTCGTCAGATTGAAATTCTACGAAGATTGTATTTCCAGTTGACGTTTGTGGGGGTCTTGTTGAGCCACAGGAATTAGTACTCGAGCAACACACACTTGTGGGTGTAAGTGCTGTTGCACTCGAAGATGAACCTGTATAAAGGTCATATCCTGAAGTTTGTCACAAACGCCATAAATCAGACACACAATTGTTTAAATAACAAAATATATCATTCTTGCTGATAACGCAGTACATGAAATGTGGAGATAATCAACAATTTTTATGCTCAGAAGTCCTTAGAGGCAATACAAATAAGGAGCAGGAGGGCAAACACTGATCTCTAATATAGCAGAGTTTGGATTAGATGCTATGTAAGGGTGGGTATCCACCGCCGACCCGTCAACAACCACCTTGTGCTCCTTGTCATGGTAGAGAAAATGACGTGAAAGCCATCGACAATAATTGTGTAAATATTGGCATAACAATTAGTATGAAAAGCGGCAGTCTAATATATCAATCGCTTTTTTATATATTTATACAACCCATGTTTTAAACTGAATACTATTCATTAAACATTGTTCTTTTCGAGGAAAATAGCTGTAAACATGCTGCAACCCTACCGTAAAGAATATCAGTGTCAACCGATGACGTCAAATTATATAAATTTTTATAATTGTCTTATTTACTCCTTATTTATTGAATCACATCTATATTGAATATCTTATAGATATATAAAAAGTAGAAAGAACTACGTACGATAGTATTGTTCTCCCGCCTACCTCTAAGTCAATTCTCAAAAGTTAATTTATTCGAATGATTTTCAAAATTTTTATAGATATTTATATGACTTTTCATAAAACGTTCCTTATTTGGGATACCAATGAGAGATAACTCTATAATTTTGGTAAAACTTGTTTTTTCCACTATAGAAATCAACAGAAAACGGAAAATATTTTTAAAACATCTCCCCCCCCCTTGAAACAAAAATTCCTTTTTACAGGTAATTTGGCCTGTCATTTCACAAATTTATGCCAAAGCTTCTTATATTTCACGCTGGGGGGGGGGGGGACATATGTTTATAGACAAAAAACGAAAAAAAAAATGCTGATTTTTCACCAATTTTTAAGCTATTTACAACTAAATATTTGTATTATATGAATTTATGTATGTTTTATTTATTTGCATAAAACATAAGAAAAGACATGAGATACATTTTATCATATTTAAGACTATTTCAAAATATGGTGATTCTTGAAAATTCGATTTCACTAGAAAATATCGTCTACCCCCATTTTTCAAGAGCTGGAATTAATGATAATTTACTATCTAGCGCTGAAATTAAAATGATCAATCAATTACCATACACTGTTATTTGTATTTAACAAAGAATTAATGGCCTAATTACCATTAATATTGAATTTAATGGGTGCAAAATGTAGGCGGGAATCAAGAGTTAGAGTTCGTAGTTCTTACCCAATGTTTTTCATGAAAGCCTTTTAAACACACCACGTCGTTTTCAGATTGAGGTGTCATTACAGATTGGTAAACTGAACAAGGCTGATGTGACCGGTAGATAGGGTATGCTCACTCCTTCATGACACCTGATCCCTCCTTTGATGTTTTGGAGGTCCGTGTTTTCTCCGCTCCAAAAAATTGTATTGTTCAATGGATGTTTGAGCTTGACTTCTGCTTGTTATCTCCATAAATTTTATTATTAAAGGGTTTTGTATTATTTATTAATTTTAGAAATGTGTTCAAATGATAAAAAAAACTATTTTATTTTAAGTTGAATAAACGGGTCCACATGTTTAAGTTCTGTGAAATATTCTCTCTATGTTTTCCTCGCTTTCCATCTTTTTTCTAATAATGGACTTATACATATCTTGATTTTCTGCTTCATGTGACAGCATACATTTAAATCAAAGATAAATTTAAATTAGTTCTTTTCGTTCTCATGTCTATAGATTATTTGATACATGAAGTAATATACTTAAAAAAAAGAAGAAATATCAATTAGAAAAACACAATTGCAAAACTTGCAAGACGACCCTTATGTCAATACCCGCAGTGTCGTATTAAAAGCAAAATGCTTTTCATAAAAAAAATCTTACCATCATAAAACTTAAGTGTGTCAGCACAATCAACAAAAAGTTTGCTGACTTCAAATGTTATTCTGGAACTTGAGTCAGCTGCTTGAAAAACCCAATTGCATCTTGTATTCCTGAAAACATAGACGTAATCATTGCACTTCTGAACGCAAATAGGAAAACAATATCAAAACACCAAGTGAATATTAAGTAGTTTGCTCAGTAGCACGATGTACATATAATGTCAAAAAAATACTCACTCATGCATGTTAAACAATTTTAACTATTAAAGGTATTTGATAAATAGAAATAAAAGTCAGAAAGATGCTAAATACTAACGTTTGGATATAGATTAAGTCTGTATAATTAATTTACTCACTGGGGATATAAATCAGATCCAGGATAAGTGAATTTTTTGTACCCTTTGTCTAATATTATGGTTGATGAGCCACATTGCAGTAAGGCCACTGAAAAAAAAAGAAGAAAAGAGAAGAATTTAAAACAAGCAAAAAATAAATCAAAATAAAACCAAAACAGATGTGTAACAGAAAACTGAATATATAGAGGATATTCAATGATTTTTAGTTGACTATGTAATTTATTTCACGAGTGGGACAGGATGCTCTACGTATAAACAATTTCTAAAATGAGGTAAATTATGGAAAAACAACTTGAGTTGCTGAAACAAGAATATCAGCAGTCTCATTTAATGTCATCATTTTGTATGTTCTATGGTCGATACCATGACCTTGTCAGCAAATACAATTTTTCATTGAGTCAAATGCTGACTGACGTTTTTCATACTAATTGTTAGTCCATTATATATTGAATTGACGATTTTTTCCTTATTTCCCGATTATGACAAGTAGCACACGGCAGGGATGCTCACTCCTCCATAGTACCTGATCCCAAATCTGATGTTTTGTAGGTCCGTGTTTGCTCTGCTCCTATTTTGTATTGTTGTATAGAATTTCGGTCTTGAATATTGTTTGTTATCTCCATATGTTTCATAGATATTTTCACGAGTGCGAAACATCATTCATTTGCCTCTGTTTTCTTTTAAAACGGTCATAAGCTACAAGAACGGTTGAGACGTCATAGCTAAGTGAGGTATAAACATTGTAAACATGGATTAAGCAACATTTTTTGGGTAATTTTTGCAGTTCAATTCTCTGTTAGAATGGTTTATTTACTTCTTTCTATCTCATATCAGGTCAGGGAAGATTTATTTTAACAACACTTTCCGTTATGGGAATGAAAATCTAGAGTTTAACAGCATTTCTGATATTTGTTACACTGTGAAAGGATATCATTTTGATATATCCTTGAACACAGCGAGAGAATAACATTTTTATTGGATAGAAAATGTAAAAATTGTAAAAATTAATGTTATAATAGACAATCTTAGTGTCTGCTCTAGTACGTTCAATTTAAACCATCTTTTAAAAAAAATTGGTTACCCTCTATAGACCGATTGCCTAAAAATTGCCCAATTCGTTAAGCGAAAGAAAATGTTTTTGACGTAATTCATTGAGACGTAGCCAAGTTATGTTATACGAAATGGATTAAGGTAGAATCTATGTCGGAAAAGTCTTTGTTACAAGATTTTCAAACTTTTCAAAATGTTAAATAAGTACTTGCATATCAATCAGTTAAAAGCTCATATTATGTTTCTTTGTTTTTATATCTAGTACAGCCTGTGAAATTTGGTATGGTAATTACATACTGCGACTACACATTTTCAATAATATTAAAGGGTACTTGTCAAGAAGAAAATATGAAAAATCACAGAAATACCTCTTCAAATATCGTCGTTTATAGACTTTATTAAATGAACAATATTAAGCAATACTTCTCAAGAATAATTTCTTTTTTATGGAATTGACATAAGATAAGTCCACATTTATATACATTTATATATATATATATATATATATATATATATATATATATATATATATATATATATATATATATATATATATATATATATATATATATATATATATATATATATATAGGGAAATGAACTCTAATTTTTAGTCAATTTTCCACTCTAAATTTGTAAATATTTTTCAGAAATATTTGTAACAATGTTTTCAGTCTTTGATATGATGAAGAACATACCCAAATGATTACAAAATGAGAGATAGGCTATTTACCGATGCTAATATTCTTTACCTTTTTGCACTTACACGGCATTTAATTATTAAATGACTGTTTGGGGTTACTTTCAGATTTAAAATATTTATCAAAAATTGTACTTTTGATTTAAAACGATCATATTTGATAGAAAAATTGGAATCAAGCACCAAGCGTATAAATAAGAAACAAATAATTATGAAAAGAAATGCACATAATATCATTATAGATATCACAAAACGTATACACAATCACACAATCTACAACACGTACATCTTCGACTTAGACATATTTAATCAAGATAATACACTTTGTCAACTTAACTAAGGTCAAGATCTAGTAAATGAAAGGTGCCAACAGGTTTCACTAAAACCAGAAATATATTGTCATTAACCATATGATTATAAGCAAAGAAATATATGAATTGAATTAAGATTATTTCGGCACGATTTTCTAAAAATTGAATTCTGTGAATTTCAAAATGTAGTATTTTCTACCATTTCTATTGAAGCTGTAAAGTACGGGAAAAAGTACTAGTGACATTAAATTAATTATGATGTAATAATGGATCAAGCACAGGCTAAACACATTCACTAGTTATGATGTCATATGACGTATGTTCTACGTTAAATCTTTTGCCCAATCAAATGATCTGCTACAAATTATAATTTAAGTTATTCAAGAGAACGATAGTAATTCTTTAATTATTCTTATCCCGACAACAAATATGTAAATATTTTCTGAAAAAAGTATTTCTCCTTCTATCTACCGACCCAATAGTTTAACTCTGAGTCTAGAATATTTTAGAGACGGTCTTGTGTTTTTGATTTAACACAATAATTTAAATGTTTAATGTTCAATTTCTTTAAATTTAGAATTACTGCATTAAAACTCAATTTTTATTTTGGTTATAAATGCTTCACACGACTATTTATGTACATCATTTTTTTTTTATTTTTAAAGCTATTATACCTGAGATGTTTTCATTTTTACTTTCATTTCATTTTCATGTTCAGACAAATATTTTCTTTCGTGACATTTGAATTAAAGATATTTATTTGTTTGCTACAATTATACTTTTCTATAACTTTAGTATACTATACTAGTTAACTATACTTAAATATAACATTTGATAAATATTATCGTAATGATTGTCTATTTGTATTTTAAACTTTAACTAGCTTTTTTTTTTAGATTTAAAGCCTTGATATTACTGAAATCATATACATGTAATTACCAGTGATTTTTTTTTAGAAGCATTTTAATGAAAGAAATACATAAAGCTCCTTTTAATATTACAAAATTACTTGAAGAAATAATAATATTAAACTTCTGTTCATCTGAAATTCATAGGAAATTACTTTGATTTTCTATATAGAAAATCTTTTTTTTTTACTATAGATTACTATACAATTTTTTGTTAGGTCAATCGCGATTTTTGTCCAGCAAAATTCGCGTGGGGATGTTTGAGGCAATAAATTCTTTTCTTACTCTAAAACTCTCTCACGATATATAAGTATCTATGTGATATTTCAACACTCTGGAAAAAAAATTGTACATTGAAACACAGGTGGCTGGGTATTTTTCTTTTCTTTTTTTTATTATTCATTACTTCGTAAATAACTGTGATAGAATAAGGCTTAAAAGTTTTAAACACTAATACTACTGTGTTTTCCGCTGGTAAAACGATGTCCAATCGTAAAATAATTTTCAAATAAAATAAAATAAAATAAAGAAATATTTCTAAAAAATCACAGATACATCGTTGATGAACCTTTTTGTAATGTAAAAATAGTGTTACTTACGTTGCTGTGAGTTTACTATTCCTATAAACTGCAGCAAAAGAATAACAATCATAACGTTTCCCTGGACCATTTTTATTTATTGACACAAGTAAAAATAAAAAAAAATATCTGTCGTCTACTAGTGTCGAATATTAAGTTAGTATATAAACAACTGTACTTTAAACACATGCATAAGAGAGAGGCACATAACAAGAAAAAAAATGAAATATATATAGCCTACGTCTTTGCCATATGTTCGAATTTTAAAAAAAAACACATCAAACTTGAATTTCAATCCATTTTTTTTTTGAGACGCTCAAGTTGAATTGTATCCACCCATATCATTGTTTATCATAAATTATTTTGACTTCAACAGATGAAATAACTTTTCTTTTTGATTTTGAATCAATAAGAATTGCTAAAAAATCTCTTCCTTGTATTCAAGTATTACGCGTTAATCATCGTGAAAATTCATATACATGTACTTGTTAAAGCAACTATAATATATATAAAAAAAATATTTATGCTTACAACTATTTCGAATTTAAAGTATTGAAGATCTTATTTTGATCAGTTGAATATAAGACATCTCAACGATTGTCATAAGTTGTAAACTTTAATCTTGTGGAAAAAAAGGAGAAAAAAATGTTGCAAACTCTTGTAAGAAAAAATGAAAAGTGGTTAAATGACTCAGAACTTCAGATTAAATTCTTATCTGGATGGCTGATATTTTCATTTCTAGTGATGTACATGTATGTTTTTGACTTAGGTATTATTCAAGTATTAAAAAGTAAATATTCCTTCATATACCGAATATCTTGATGATGACTTTTATGCTTCTTGATCAGGCACATACATCTATAGATAACTATCCAAATGGATGCATTTTTAGCCGGGCTTGCTGACAGCATAACCCTGGCTATAGGCGTCATGATCGTCTCTGTTACTATAAATAGACCAATGTAAAGAAAAAAAGGCAAACAGCGTTCAAGACGAACCTTACGATATACAAAGTAGATTTCCTAAAATTTATAAAATCGGTAAAATTGTGAAATTATAAGATGCACTTTTTTTTTTATTTGTGAGAAAACTAGCATTAACAAGTTTTCATTTCCAAATCATTGTCCACGTCAATATCGCGAAATTGAACATTTTTACATATAACACTCAATCGTAACTACTCGGCCATCGTAACCACAAATAACAGCGAGCGTGATCCGATTGATGCGCATGAATACATTCGAACTACTTTTGATAGCCGTCTGTTGACTGCAAAGGAAGACGACATATTGAACTGAGAAAGAAAGTCGGTTTGGCTAGTATTATGTTATTTGCAAATTTTATTAATATTTGATATCCTGTTTCTCTAGGGCTGAAAGAAAGCATCAAATACAGCGTAGGTTTATGCATGTTTTTAGATATTGATTGCATGATTAGAACTTCTTATCGGGCGCTTGCGCCATGCTGAATTGTTTGTAAACATGAGTTTTGACAAAAGGCTTAGATCCCGCTAATCCTTTAGTCGTGATTTGCTGACTGAAATA